CATCGTTAGGTTCGGACAGATTTTGTTTCTCCTTCTCATAGCTTATAATGCATTCACTCATGTCATGTCTTTTCTCTTTAACTATACTCAATATTTTTTCCAAACCTTTATAACCTTTTAAACAATCGATTGCCTGTTTTATATATTTGGCTCCATCCGGGTCTTTACAGACACCTTATATAATATACATATCAGTAAATTAAAGTTATTATTAATAATCAACATCAATTATATTGAATTCCATATTAGACTTACCACAGAATAATATAGCAAAGCCATGTGGTTTGTCAATATCCCAGTGCAATTTGAATGCAATTGTTGAACCACTTAAGTGGCAAAATATAAGTAAAATACAGAATAATACATTCATTTTATTTATGTATTATCTACTGAAACTTTTTATCATATTAGTTATTAATTAATAAATGAATGTAATTTGTTGTGACTATAAATATAATTTACATTAATATTCATTGATTTATTGTTGATTTCAATATACTTGCAAATAAGTCGTGGAAATATTATGACGTTATTTCATATTAATAACAAAACAATGTTTATTCAATTGAATATTTTTCTATCTAAACAAATATTTTATTGACTGCCAATTCTATGAAAATTGTATTGTTTATGATATTTATTTTTAAAAATAGAATCTGGTTTAAGATGTTTTGCATCAAATAATAATGTATTTGAAAATTGAGTTCTAAATTAAAATTTTTATTATACAGTACATTAAATCTAACAGATTGTCTCAAAGAGTCTAGTCAATTTTATATATTTTTTGCAAATCTATTGAAAATAGAAAAGGTGAAAGAATTTTTTGAAATAATATTATTTTTGTTAAAAATTGGAATAATTATGTCCTAATGTGTATATTTGGGTATTAGTAAGTAATGATTAAAAATATGAAACATGTTGTCAGTGAAACAATTTGAATACAGCGGTTAATCAAAGTACGCTTCTTCGAGAAACACTCGCTTGAAAAACACTATATCAAAATACATTTGATCCAGGTACATTTGTTCAAAAGACTTGCTCAAAATCCATTTGTTCAAAATATATTTTGCGGAATACACTTGCTTAAAAGATACCTGTGCTCGAACAAATAAAATTTATAATAACCAATTAACTAACTAACATTTATTTTAATAGCCTATTAGTTTTATAATTATTATTATTACTAAATATTAAAAAATAGCATAGTTTGAATTTTAAAATATGTGTACACTGTACAGTAAGTGTCTTTTGTCATGCATTTCATACAAGTGTCTTTTGATTAAATGTTTCTCGAGCAAACTCATTTCCTGCAAGCGTTTTTAAAAATTAAGTGTATGTCCGCAGTGACCACTTTTATCATGTAAAATTTAAAAACCAAATCTTCTATTTTACTAATATCATAAAATATATCATATTTTATATCAATCGAAAGGTATGGTTAAGCGGAATTAAGATCTTAAGGAATTTTCTAATTCTGATGTAATCGGAAAAGGTTCATGTAAAAATAATTAAAACTGTGTATATTGTGTATGGTATGATGTGAAAACGGCATAATTGTAGTCCATTCATATTAATTTTAATTATACTTATGATGATTATTATTTTGATAAATTTAAAGAATGTTGAATTGTTTTAATTTAAATTTTTGGCATTTTCACTAACTTGTAAGTAAATGCCTAGAGTTCTTTTAGGTTATTATTCAATTAGTTCTTACAATGAATGAAAATATGTGCATTGTTTAATTTAAACATATTATATAAACTTAAAATTAGTATTAATAAATTTATAAAGTATTAATACCAATATTTTATTGAAATAATTTGTTAACATTATTACGATACATGCATTTTACAGTAAAATTATAAAGATAGTTAACATTTTTTTATATCATCGGTCGATTTATACAGCGTTTTCATACATTCTCTCGCTTTAACCTGAGCTTTATCGTCCTTTTTATCATGTTCGTTGCTTTTCATGAATTTGTTCAGTTCAAGCGAACAACTGTCCATTCCTTTGGCCTTCAGTTCACCGGCCTTTTTAGTGATGGCCGGTCCTAACGGTACGCCTGACACACATTGTTTAAATGCTGTGATGGCGGCCGACCCCTTGCTATCCTTACAATCGCCTGCAAATAGCAATTCAAATATTAAATACAATTGCAAATAACTTTGTAATCGATTCTTATATAACTTTTACTTACCACAATAAATGGACGCAAAATTATCTTGATTATTTAGATCCCATCTCGAGTTGCTGCAATTGACGGCACCGATTATTATTAAGATTACAGATATATTTGTCAGTTTACAAAACATTATCATATGTATCTTCTTTAAACAATTGCGATTATTATTCAGTGGACAAAAAATTATGTTAAAATTTGGAAACATTTATCTCTCATTTATATTGTGTTTAACTTTATTATTCTTGACATAAGCTGATTATATTGAGCAAAAGTAAATTAATTAGATTATTGCAAAATAATGTCAAAATAATATTGTAATAGTTATCATTAATTGCACATTGTATAAACAATGCCATAGTTAAATTTATTTAATTTATTTGTTACAATTGCTTAATGTTTATTCACTCGCCTTAATTTAGATGCAACATTTAATTTAATAATTTGAAATTCATTATAATACTATCTAAATATTGTATTTTGTTCTTATATTACTACATTTAATATATTTTGAATTTTAAATTTTTACTTGTATTTAACAAGTAATTATAGTTTTCGTTTGCTTTAATAGATTTTAAAATAGAGTTTTATATAATAAGATTTATACTGTATATTAGATTCACTATTTGAACAAATTAATACTGAAAAAGAAAGATAAAAATATTATTTATATCTACTCTTGACCACGATTTATTATACAATTATGTTTTATAAGTTCCAGTATTAGTCCCTCAACTTCTATGTAAAATAACACACTTCTATGGAATCCAAGTTTAAACTTTTGCCAATAGTGCAGAGGGCAAACATAAGGCAAATGATGTCATATGGATAATCTTATATTTATATAAGTTTAGTTTTTTAGCATTTACATTTAGCATAGTTTATAAGTTATAAATTATAACAATTACATTTTGTTATGATATTCTCCAAATTAATAATAATTAACTTTATTTGTGTAATTAAAATATGATACAATATAACTAACATTTTTTAATGATTTTACTTGACATCATTAGAGTATCGGTGCATTGTGCCAATTTTTTTTCATCATGATTATTTGGTGCATTGATTTCATGGATATGGTCTTCCAGTTCTTTCACACAAATGTCCAGACTTTTGGCCATAGCTTTTTCAGTCCGTGTAATAAATTGTTTTACTTTGTCATTAAAGCTAATGCATTGTTTAAATGTAGATATAGCTTTGGCCCCTTTGCTATTTTTACACTTGTCTATATTAATAAATATTGTATATTTAATCATTAACTATTATATCTTAAAGTATCATTATTTAAAACATTTTATTATGAAATTGCATTTTTCAGTCAAAATGTTTTTATAATGAATACAAACCACAAAAAACGGATGCAATTGAAGATTTCTCATTTAAATCCCACGAATGCTCGACACAATAAGTATGGCTTATTATGACCACAATTATTAATAAAATAATTGGCATTTTATTTAAAATAATATATTTTATATGTTGAATACAGAATATACAGTATATCTTTATACAACTACTGTATTAATAATTAATAAGTTTAACAAATATGCCAATAAATCTTTATGTTGAAATATTTAATGATTAACTAAATGTTGTTGCTGTAGATTTAATCAACATTTTATTCAGTGACGTGATTTACATTTAATTATATCATTTGTTAATTATTTGACAACCTGAATAAATATAAATTAAATTATTAAATTTCTAATTATAAGAAAATATTGTTTAATATACTTTATTAATATCATATTAATAATATGTTATAAATATAATAACATGCTATGAAATAATGAAAAGTAAACATAAATTTAGTTTATATACGGTAATTTTATTTTGTTAAAATTAAGACATTGATGTTTAAATTATGTACTAATACAATTTGTCAATTGTACAATAATGTCAGATTCTTTAAAAATTTATACTATTTAACTTTCTAACAGATAGAATCTGCGGTATATGAATTTATTTTATAAATTATATTTTTGACATTTTTTTTGAAAAAGTTCGAGTTTTTAATTAATTAAAAAAATTTAGATTCAAAAACTCAAACTTAAACGATATACAGTACTTATATAAAAATATTATTATAATGTTTAACATTTCTTAATAGTTTGGGCAGATTTATAGCTGGTGTCCACACATTGTTTCATTTTGGTCGAGGTTTCTTTATCTTCATTCTTTTTGTTAGCATTAATAAAATGATTCAATTGTTGAACACAAGCGTCCAATCCTTTGGTCTTAAGCTGTTGGCACTGTTTGGCAATGGATTGTATGGTCGCAGAGAAGTTCGCGCATTGCTTGAAATCGGCAATAGCTTTGGCCCCATCTGTGTCTTTACAATCGCCTATTATATAAAATAATTGATTGTTTATTTAACCACGTTTGGCCATATGAATTAATTTTAAGGTTTACAATAGGATTACCGCAATAAATAGTTGGGAATCTAGTTTCAGATTTTATATCCCATGCGGAAACATTTATGCAAATTGTCAAAATTATTACAAGTAAAAGAAATAACATCATTTTACAGTTAGTTTAATTAATTTCAACTACAATTAACATCAGTTACAAGTATACTACAGCACTACACCCTTGTTGTTATTACAATAAAAATGAAATTAATTTTAATTACAGACTATAATTATTTAACGTACTTAAATACCTATACTGTAGAATAAAATACAGTATATCATAAATCATGATAGCCTATCATTGATAGGTATTGAATAGAATAATAGTAATGTTATCATGTACAGTAGTTGTTAGAACAATTAAGCAGCTGCATCATAATAAAGTATTTGCATATTGTAATTTTCTTCATTTATTATTAACTATTAAAACAACAAATAATATTTTTTAAAATAAGTAAAGTATTAAGATAATTTTCCACATTGTAAACAAAAAATATAATTTAATTGATATTATTTAATTATAAACAATAAATAAAATTGTTATTGTTTTGAAAAATTCATATTTATTTTATTGGTTAGTTTAAATCAGGTCTGTTACAGTTACCCAAGAAACAATACAAGAAGGTAGATCTTCAAACCAATTAAAAATGAATGTTGAATTATAATAGAATGCAAAATAATTACACAGTACAATTTTATTTGTTCTTCTTAATTAAATAAATCAATTAAATTGTATTTTTTATCCACAATATGTTTGGTTGTACACCGTCTTGTGTACACCCGTCATACCTACTATTTTAAAAACATAAAGTGGCTTCTAAACTGTCTGATTTTATAAATTACAAACATTGTTTAGAAACCATAAAATACCCATGGTACTATTTTAAAAATAGATAATACAATAGCAAATAAATATAAAATTTATTAATTATAGTCTCCACATTTAATAATTTGATTTCGATGTTTATCAAGTTCAATTGTGCATGTATCATTTCTTTTATAGTCATCTGCGTTTGCATTTTCTCTAAAAGTTTGCATTAATTTATGCATTTGTGACAAACAATTGTCTAAATTATTTCTGGTTTTATTCGCCAATTCAGACATATTCCTTGCCTGAGGCCAATCAATCATACAGTCCTTGAATTGTTGTATATATTTTTTAGCCCCCGTTTCCCCGCAATTACCTATTAATTAAAACATTTTTAATTAAAAATACAGATTTTAATTTAATTAGTATAAAGTTTAAATTATCAACTAACACGATGGCAAAGTTGTGAAAAAATTGATTTTATTTCTATGAAATCTTATTTGTGAATAAACAATTAATAATGAAGAATAAATATACAAAAATTATTTATGCAACTCAAACCATTTTGTACCAAGATAATATTTTGGGCCAATATTCAAAACCAATTTGCGTGATAACTAAACAAGTTATTCAAAAAATTCCAACGGATTCTTGAATTAAATGTGAAGTAGTATTAATATATAAAGTGTGTTTTCATCAAAAATTGATTTTAGTGACCAAAAATTACAAAATGGTCGAAATGACCATCTTGCCCTCGTAGAACATAAGGTTTCTTTGCATATTATTGTACAATTTTTAAAGGGCTTTTAATTAATATATACATTGATCTACGTTCTACGAGGGCAAGACGGTCATTTTGAGCATTTTGTAATTTTTGGTCACTAAAATCAATTTTTAATAAAAACACACTTTTAATATTAATACTACTTCACATTTAATTCAAGAATCCGTTGGAATTTTTTGAATAACTTGTTTAGTTATCACGCAAATTGTTTTTGAATATTGACCCAAAATATGATTCTGGTACAAAATTGTTTGAGTTGCATAAATAATTTTTGTATATTAATTCTTCATTATTAATTGTTTATTCACAAATAAATTTTTATAGAAATAAAATCAATTTTTTCAGAACTTTGCCATCGTGTTTATAACTTTAATATTTTATTTTATATAATTTATAAGTTAAATAATTTAGATCATATCGATAGTTATTTTTATTTATAAATATAAACTAACCATACACAATATTAAATTAATATAATAATTTCATATTGAGTAACAGAATAAATTCCCGGTTTCCGCGGTTAGCTTAATATAATTTATAAATCACCCATATATACTATACTATATTTATAAATAGTATACAACTTAATTTTTTATTCACCAATAAGTTAGTAAAATTATGATTAGTGTATAAATATTAATTTAGTATTACCGCAATATAACATGGCTATTCCAGCTCCATCATTTACATCCCATGTTTTGGCTACTTTGATGGCAATCACCGCAACATTTAATGCAATAAATATAAACGAAATGAAAACAACTAGATTTGTCATATTCACCAGTACTACAGCACTACACCTCTATTGTTATCACAATAAAAATGAAATTAATTTTAATTACTGATGGTAATTATTAAAAGTACTTAAATACCTATTATGCAGAGTAAAATACACCATGATTGGTATTGAATAAGATAATAGTAATGTTATCATTAGGGTTACCAAATGTCTTCTTTTTAGAGGACAATCTTCTATTTGGACATGTTTAAACCAGTGATCTTTTAAAATTTAATGTTACAATCAAGGTAAATACTGGTGTCTTCTATTTGTCATTTATCATTATTAAATGTTCTTCATTTGTTATCTAAAACTCGTTTGAAAGTCCTCTTTTCTAAAGTGGAAGTTGGTAAACCTAGTTATTATGTGCGGTAGTTGTTAGAATATTTAAACAGCTGTATCATAATATGGTATTTGCATATTGTAATTTTTTTAATTTATTATTGACTATTAAAACAACAAATAATATTTTTTATAATAAATACAATTTCTACTATGATATAATATAAACAATAGAACAAGGTACTATTATGAATGTTTATTTTTGTACAATAGTTTTATTCATTAATAAATTATGAAGGAGTAAATTTATACAGGTGCATTTACATTACATTTTATGTATAAAATTTCTTAATCTACAATAGACTAAACCAAAAGAGCGCATCTTTCATTAAAATAAGGTTTCATATAAGTATCATTTTTAAAGTATTACAATAACTTTCCAAACATTTATTACAAATGTTTTTACATTTATTTATTAAATATTGTCACAATATAAGTGGCACCTAGTGAGTTATGCGAAAAAGTAATTGAGTGAGCTTTAAACAATATGAAAATTAATTTTACACATAATTTTGCCCAAGTTTTTAATTTAACAACTAAATTCACTAAATTAAAACAATCTAGCTCTCTCATTATTTGATTACTTTATGTGGTTGTTCTTTTTTAGATTTATTTGCATTTTTTGGTCATTACATTAATTAAAAAGATGGCTTCATAACAATTTTGCTAATATTTATTTATTAATTTATAAAATTCTAATATACATTTATATTTAGTTCATCAAAATTAAGTTTCAAGTTATAATAGATTCCTAATATATTGTCACTCCAATGATCGGCAGATGGAGTATGAGTTGTGCACATAATTCAAAATTATTTAAACATTTTTAAAAAATAAAATTACATTACATTTTCAAAAATTAAATGTTAATCAAAGTCTAAACCAATTTTTAATTTTTATTTTATTTTATATACACATTTTATTGAGCAAATTATTTGTATTTTTATTGATTTATAATTTAATAAACTTACACAAATTAGTACATTGTATATTGTGGACAAACATATTAAGACTTGTGTTTTAAATACCAAATATTTTTTGTTGTACCAAATAATATGTACAGTCCAGGAAAGAGCTATAACATTTACTATATTTAGCTCACAATTAGTAAATTGTGATGTTTAATTTAAAAATCCTCTTATTTTAAAGCATAATTAGTTTAAATATACAAAATAAATTATAAATTTTTGTAAAAATATCCACAGAATTAACTTTAATTCAATATAATTAAGAAATGGGTAGGAAATATTTATAACAACTAATCAGTTATCGGG